GGTTTAAACTGTTTTTGAATGATCTACATAGAGGAATTTGCAGAAATCATACCAATTCAATCATACAATTTCGCGCTTGGACGATTCGGAGTATCAAGCATGACAGTGTCTAATATATTATCGGAGAGCTATTTTGAAATGTGATACACCTTGAACAACCCAAATGAATGTATATTGTACAGTAACCTGCACGATTTCCGAAAGTTAGCTCGACGCCCGAATACGTTAAATATCTGTAGGAGTGCGCGTCGATTGACTGAGCAATTTTCGTAAATTGTTTGTCAGATAATCATCAGCAGATTTTATTCACATTATTGTGCAACAACAATAAAGTTGCATTTATTTAAACAAACAAGAAGGATGAACAACGGTGAATTTTCCCAGAACGCGGGGTATGAAATTATTTATCCCAATGATGTGTGAACACTCACAAAATAGTCCCATGGAGAGACCAGAAGCCTTGATTGATAGTCCCAATAGAACTGTCTATTGAGTAAAATTTGATAGACGGAAATGCTTACCAGTATGTCTCATCCCGAATGGTACAAATATACAATCATTAAGTAACACGGTTTACTGAATGTGGAAACCTAGGCTTTTGAAAAATTGCGAGACTGATTGTTCGGTCATTACGAGTATTGATCTAGCTGATGCGACGTGATCCTCAACTTTAAAACAACAAATTCTGAGGAAATACAAAAATTCAGAGAATGTTTTACATTGTATCTTAAATTAGGAACAGTGGTGGCTAAAAATAACGTAAGATTGCATTTTCGGCTTTTGGGGATTGAGTTTGACATAGATTTACCAGTTAATAAAATACTAATAGCGACTATTGTGTGTGGGGATTTCTTCTGTCATGCCCTGATTTATTCAAATGTACGTTCTCAGCAAAAATGTGATTGATTGGGTTTCTCACCCTTTGGATTAGCTTATAACTGCGTTCGATAAGCCGTTTTACAATTTCCATAAGTCCTTCGTGGTCATTTATCACTCAAAGGTGTGCTAAGGATTACTTCCTGTTTTCAAAATCTAGCAACTTTCCCTAGAATGTGAGACTCTAGAGATTTGAGTGCACTTGGGCCAATTGACTGCATGATTTCAATGAGCTATACGCACACTTTCGAATGGGGAAAAGTTCATTAGCTTCGATGGGATCCGAAACCATGCAGAGACACTGCCAATGTTTGTGTACAGTGCACACTCTACCAGATGAGCTGCGAGAACCGACTCATAGCGCTAGTATTTTCAAATTTAGATCACCCGTCTAACTTGCAGAGACATATGGAGTCCACCAGGTCGCATGTAAGCTGAAGAACACTACAAGTTTCCTTAGAATCTATCAGAAGGTACCTCTAAGCTTGGATGAATTTTCAAAAATAAGTTGTTTGACAGATTTAAATCTAAAGTTTAACTTGTGAAATGTTACCACCGAGCCTACTTTACTTTTCACAATTGGAGCATGGGACTTCAATCTCTCAGATAACATACTCGGAAGACACTCATTACTTCCTGAGCTTTACAAATGCTTCGTTGTTTCATGAATCGGTAGTTTGGATGAATAAACTATAGGAGAACAATTACGAAGAGGTTGAAATTAGTTTCCAGAGATTTATCCTTACAACGGAGTTGAGCATGCACGTGACCTGAGGGGATTTGGGGTTGGAAATAGCACAAGTAGATGAAAATGAGAACTGATATTGTCAATATCAGCAACCCAAATATGATTCAGTAGAATTAATTAATCCAGTCGCACGTAATTATGATCGTCAACCGTGTAACTCATGGAGAAAGACCCAAGAGGACCCAAGTCGAATGATCTCGATTCGCGTCCTGACAGAACCAGAAAAGTACGCGCTGTTGATGACTTCCATAACAGAATGAAACAGCTGTTCAGCGCTCTTGGTCAGTAATCACAAATTTTGCCATCGCTCTATGATCAGGATTCTGGTTTCAAACAGATTGCCCGTAGGAGTTTGTACAAACGCTCACAGGGAAGATAAAAGATGATAAGCCGATCTGAACATAGATCCGACAGACTAACACGTGGATGACAAGTTTGGTCAAAAAACGCTACCACTGAAACGGATGAAAAATGTCTAACGTGCGCCACACAAAGCCCAAGAGAAAAAACAAGTAATAGACTCTCCTGCAAACTCACTACACACAGGTTTGAACGTTCTCCCAGAGAAACCCATCAACGCTGCTGCGGAACAACGCAAATAAATTGGAAACGTGCTTAAGTCAAATAAGAGCATCAAAGTGTCTCACCGTACAAATCTGAATGAGTGTCATTGGCTCAGTTCACATACGATATTTTCGATATGTTCAGTCTACAGAATATTGTTCTTATGAATGACACCTCGGCATTAGGCAATTGCACGCGAGATGTGTGAAATATAAATTGAAAACGTTCGGAAAGATTTGCTGGAAGTTCAGAATCCATGGAAAAATTGTAAACTAGGTAGTGGTGGCCCGGTGGTAACTTTACCAAATTATCATCCAGGTGGACGTGTATTCGAATCCTACCACCATCTTCCGACTTTCCCTATTATGTCTTGTATTCCAGCTCTATGGTCTATTCCTCTACATGAAAATGGTATCATTGTGCATGCAATGAAAGGAAGTTAAAATAAAAAAGGAAAATAACTTTGCTTGTTAAGCAAGGGAAGCAGGAGTCAGTTCTCAGAAAAATTGATAATAAATGAGACGAGAGGACCACAATGGCTCACTGGTGGTTTGTGCATAGTTTGCCAAAAGTTCGCTATCCACTCTGTTCACCTGATTGACTGAATGATCTTCCAGCGTCCATTCTCAGACAAGCTGTACACCCAAGTAATTTCCATCATTCAGCGTGGTTTTCAGAGTGCATTGCATCAGTCCTTCGGATTGTTAATCTATGTATGCTCATACACAAGAGTACCCTTTTCACGATTCATTTGTAGTTTCAAAAAAAGGATGGCTGATTCAGTGGGCAGTCGAATGTAGGCTGCTAAACATTTGGGATGTAGGGAGCAATTTAAAAGGTCAAAAAGCACCCTTTACTAATCCAAAGTACTGTGAAACTATTAGTGAAGTTCTGACTCACTGAATTGAGTGTCTGAGGCCCTGCAAACCATAGCTTTAACATACTTTTCACTTCATCTATATAGCTTTGGTTGATTTTGGAGGAAACATGGGAAAAAACCGTTGAGACTCAGTAACACGACTGCCCATTTGGAAATACCGACGTCGAGTTTGGGTACGACATACGATCGGAAAGTAATACTAACACTTCCCAAAGTAACAATAAAATTAACATGATCCTATCCTATTCTCTATGTTCTAGAACGATGTTTTCCACGGGAATGTGTGCGATGGTGATTATCGTGCAAGGAAGAATCCTAGTGGAACTCTACGTGTTTTGAAAATATTAAGTGATAGTTACTTACAACTTACAACATAAGCTGCCGAAATACTTCGTCAATTATTTCATGGACTACTGCTGAATCCTGATAAGTGTAGACGTCGGACAGCTTCATTTGTCAGCTTACTTTATCCAAGACTTCGTGGGGTACACTCGTACATTCACGTAGGTATATACCTTGTAAGATGCCGCACTGATGAAGCTTTTACTCTGGTAGAGCTTTTGAACACTGCTTCAGAATTCGAAGAGCGGAAATCAGCATGCTGTATTGCCTTTCGTTCGGCCTTCGACTCGACGGACAGGCACTACTTTTGGAACATACTAAACATCCACGGGTTGTCGGCTGTATATATATATATATATATCACACGTCTGACGCCAGGCTGCGTACTAAACAAATCAAGGTAAAATAATATTTATAAAAAAGGAAAAAGTTCCATGATTTGTATGTGGGCGGAATACTGCCAGGTTGACCAGGCCAAGGCAGATGAACTTTCTTGAGGAATCCACAACCGCAACCTTTGGCTATCTAAAGCCTGAACCACAAGGCAGCGGGGCAGTGTGTGAAAACTGCAATCCATTGAGGGCCTGTGTCCAGTTCATCAGATCATACGCCCCTGGGACGGGGTCCAAAGCCCAAGGTACCCAATACACCTCGATGACCAATGGAGGCGGTGACCACTGCCATAACCGGAAAGGTGTGTGGTTCGTACGCCTCCTCGTGGTTGGGTTGAAATCACGGTTTTTGACCAACTCCCCTAGGTGAATTACCAGTGGTCCACCAACCCGGTTATAACCCCGGATGTCGGTTTTTCGTCCTCTCTATTTGGTAGGAAAACACCTCTGGTATGAGAAGGCAGTGAGTAGAGCTTTCTCAGCAGAGGATATTTGAAACGATTGGTCGTATGGGAGCATTTCGCGACCCTAGACACCCACTCCGACCATAACGAGGCTTTCGGAGGCGGTTTGTCGGCTGAATGAAGTACTATTTCATGTCACTTTGTATGTGCTTCCTCCTTTAAAGAGAGGAGGCGACGAAATTGATTTTGCATTCGGTAGTCTATTGTAGCTGTCCGTCATATTCAGTGTTGTTTTACTTTGGATAGAGTCATAAGCACAACATGACTGCGATGGCGTTAAAAGAAGCTCTGGAAGGTGAATAACAGATGACGAATTTGCGACTAGTGTGACTAGCCATGGAGAGGATCATTCCTGGTTGTAGGTACCTATCACCCGCATCCAATTGTATTGATATTGAAGTACAGATTTGCACATCAGAAACGAAACAGCTAGGCCAGCTTTCCCGATGCATTCAATGCACATCATTGGTGTTATTAGTCGAGCAGATGGATTTCTCCATTAAATTAGCTTGACAGTACTACTACTGGAACATAAATTAAAGGAAATATATAACTCCAGTTAGATTTGTCCAAGGGGCAATACTACAGCATAACCAAGGTTGAAAGATGCATAGTAGAATATCTTCGCAAAAAAAGCTTATATCTAACTCCGCTGTTCGATTTGCGCTCACACATGTCTGCAAAGCATGACCAGTGAGAACCAATAATCTTTACGCATCATTTGTACAGTACGTTTACGAGACTAAATCCACAGCAGAATCATCAGACAAAGCTGATTTAAAACGGAAAAAATTCAACTTATCTGCAACGCCACCTTGAATAGTTAGATTACGTCCTCCGGCAATCAAAAGGAGATCTTTTGAGACACGCTTATCATTCCAGCTTCCTGTGTGATAGGGTGCTGCCACATTGAAAAACATAAACGCGAATTGATACCATGAACGCATTCTGTCCATGGCTTCAAATTTTTTTTATTTGTGGTGATCTGGATGCCGATCTCGTCAGAAATATCAATTAAGCCTAGTCATTTTCTATCAGGGGCCAATTGCATAGAGGTGCAAAGTAAAATACTGTGTTCGCTTCATCAACGGCACTGGCCATGTTCGTCTACTTGCATCCTACAAGCAGAAAATTGATGACAACTATGTTGATCGAAATTCCACGCTGAAGATATGACAACACGTTGGATTTTCCCAAATAACTTTGAAATGAATTCAAATGAACGGTGAAAGCTTAACTCACTACATTGCTACAGTTTTCCATATCCAGATAGAGTATATCTAAAATAATACTGTACGATATCTGCATCCTTCCGGTTGACACCTCAACTATCCTGCACCTATCATACATTGCGAAGGGGAGATTTTATCTACCATTTCGCGGTGAAATCGCTTACTGGGCTACACGAATTCTTCCGATAATAAGACGTGTTTTCTATCTGTAAGGTCCATCCAGTGAAGCATTGTGATTTCATAAATCGACACCGGTATCAGGTAAATGAACGATTTGTTCCAAATAACATCTCATTCGGTCCACATGCAAATGGTTTGATTGACTCTGATCACGTGATAGTCCTTTTCACGCAAGTCATCGTGTGCGAAGGAATAAAGTTGACCCTACCTGTTCAACGCATTAGCATTTTTTCGCGCTCACTTGAAATGCTAATCTGGAATACAGACATACATGGTTGAGGTGATCGCCAGGTTTATTCAAATCGGCTTGACATGTTGCGTATACATTGAATACAAGACAGAATCATCCCCGGTTTGCTCACTGCTTTGCCTACTTTCATGACGGTTCATCAGACTAAGAAAACTGCAAACGATTAACTATCGGTTGAATAAAAACCAAATATATCATGCTTTGTCTACTCGTGAGATACTTCGAAGCACATTACAGGCTGGGGTAGGTCTGAAATGCTGTTGTAATTGTTTATAGACTGGGGTCAATGTGAAGCCATAAACTTTTGAATAAAAATATCGCATTTTTACAAATGAGATCGAAAACACCATTGTTCTGTGCTAACATTGTGCACGGTAAACCATTGTGCCATCAATGAATGCGAACATAATTTTACGCACGATTAACTGATAGTGCAATAAAGCTTGGCTATTTTTGTGTTTCATCGAAGAATTTGTATGTGCGAGCAATCTTACAACCCAGGTGCTTTCAGACAAAGAGGATGTATAACATTTTCTACCGTCTCTTAGTTGGTAAGTAAAGTGTACATATTTCAGACGGGGATTCAAATCGCAATGTATTATTAGGTAGTATTTACAAAGGAACATTTTTAAAACGGAAAATTATTTCTTTACAAAGATTTCTCCGAATTCCTCTCAAAGCATTCCTCTGACCTTGTTGTTGTTCATGCAAACACCGTGCGAAAAACGTGGTACCCCCTATGGATTTTCCGCTATTGATGACTTTCTTGGAACAAAGCCAGACGGTATACGAGGTCCCCATCACACGATAACACAACATTTGAAGGGGAAACAGCTAAAAATCGATCATAAATGAAATGGACTCCAGAAAAATCTCTCGGAGAAAGATACGAGCAGATTGCTACGTATGGCCTCAAAATCCGTGAGTGAATCAACAAAGATGAAAAAGGGCGAAAATTGCGTGAATTGTATGACGAACACTTGAAACTGTTGCTTGGATTAAATACAAAAAATGAGAGGACGCATAGCTCTACTTACACTACGAACAATAAAGCTTGACTGTGTGCTGGAACTCATGAAACTTGGAAGCTGAGTGGAAATTCGCGATTTAATTATGATGGGCCTGACGCGTGGAACTACTGCTGGCATATTCTGTAAAAGCAAGAGCGGCACTTGAGTAAGTGGAATAACGATCGAAACTCCGTATTGATAAGGGTTGCCGTCTCAATAAACGGTTCAACCGGACATGCTACACTATGTGGGGTGCAAGATCCTAGTTCGTATACTCGTGTATTGAAGCGGTGCCTACACCAGCAATGGCATCTAAAGATAATAGCGAAGGTGTGCTTGAGCACGTTTATGCTGTAGTTCATAACTTCCATTCATCAAAAAGCAGGTTATTATTTCGAGACAGCAAAACACTGACGCGGCCTGCGTGCAGCCTAAATGTGATCCGGAGAAAAATATTTAAGCTTTTCTTACTTGAAAGCTGTACCGAAATGGAAACATTTACGACAAAAAAATGAATAGATGCATTGGTGATGAGAGATGAAAAAATATGCAAACGGATATAATTCGAATAGAGTCACACAAGAGTCTTCATCATCATCTGCATCACCGTCGCGATCAACATTACCTTTCTCCTCGTCCTTGTCGTCGTCGTCCTTCTCCTCTTCCTCGTCCTCATCATCCGAGTCATCATCATTATCATCATCTTCCGAGTCATCCGAGTCAACAGCATCATCATCATCATCCGAGTGATCATGATTATCGTCATCATAATCCGAGTCATCCGAGTCATCAGCATCATCCGAGTCATTAGCATCATCATCATGGGAATCATCATCATCATAATTGTCATTATCATTATCATGGTGTTCATTATTTTCATCTTAGTCATTTCCATTTTTGTTACCAACGCCGTCCTCATGATCATCTAGATCTTTGTTGTCATCTACGTGACCAGCACTGTGTAGTACTCTTTCTGAAACCAATCGTTTGCGTCCACCGGCATTACCGTATTTCAGTATCGCATGAAAAATTTTGATATCTCTGATTCTTCCTTCAATTTTCTATCAATTGTTAATCCTCGAATCCACGAAACCATCCTTGAGTGACCGAGTTTGTTTGTACAATAGCTATTGCAATCAAATCGATGTGTTTGATCGAGAATAAGTTGTTATGTAACTTACTTATTTAACAGTAATAACTTCATTAAGCAATTGTTAACTCCCGTTTTCCCTAGTGGTATAATTACACAATCAATATCCGAGCAATCCACAATGACAGATGAGGAGAACTTGAGGCTACAAGCAATATGGTTTTCAGTGTTTCACAATCACAGCGTTATAACACGATATAAACGTAACTAATTACCCATAGACCTTCAACAAGGAAACAGGAAAGTAACCGGAATTCTTAACATAGCTCATAGTCGAATAGAGACCACAAGAGAGCTGCATGATTTAGGCCAAAACAGATATCCCTGCTCTCCAACTGATAGAATACTGTGGTATACACGATTACCGACTTAGATGCTCGATTGTTTAGTGATTGACGCTCAGTCTTCACGATACTCGTCTGTGGGTTTACATCCGTACGGCCAAACCTTATCTGATGGATTCGACCGACATAGTGTCGATGAACCATCGCATGCCTCACCTCAGCGACCACTACCATGCCTTGTTCAGTCTCTCACTTAACCATTCCATATGCTGGCCGGAGATTACCTACCCTGACGTAACTCACTTTCCTTGAGTCCTTGAACTGCAACTAGGATCTCAGACTCCGCGAATCGAACATTTTGGCGCGCCTCTGTTGAATGTTAGACTAAGCTGGGTTTCTGTACTGCACAAGGAAATTATCCAACATTACCTCTAACTATGACTATGTTACGGCTCAGAAAAGACACTATTCATTTCATAATTCTCACCAAATTTTCACTTGTACCATTCAAGCAAACAAGACGTGGGACTGTTAGCAAATCGTGGTGAAAGAAGTGGTCCAACTACGACTTGATCTCCACCGCACAGTATAGAGTTGCATTATCTATCACCAACACTCGTGAAATACTCTCTCAACTAAAGTATTCACGTTGTTTCACGCAATCAGTTCCCTTTAATATTTTCATGCGAGCAAGAAGAAGCATCATAATCACAGGATGTGTTGAATTCAACTATCTCGTGGTAATCTCATCAGCTGTGAGCATACATTCGGATCACGTTTGGTTAAAAGAGTGACAGGTTTTGAGGACAGGTGAACACAAACGGGGAAGAGAAATCAATCAAAACGAAGGCCAAAGGTCACCAATATGAATATGTGTATATATACATGTATGAATACATATGTATATATGAATATTTGGGTATAGGGGCAGGGAGCGGAATCACTGCAGGGTGGAGGGAGGGGGACAGTGACAACTACCAAGGCAGCGCAAGGTTAGCCACAAATTCTGTCGGTTTACATAAATCGGGTTTATAACGTCGAATGGTAGCCGCTTCAGCTAACCGTAGTAGACGGTTACACAATGCCCAATCCGGTTTATATTGATGACCTTTGGCCTTCGTATTGATTGATTTCTCTTCCACGTGTGTGCCGTACTCGGTTGCTTATTCACTGCATTTATGTTGACCAGAATGTGATGCACGTTATCTATCCTCACATAATTATGTTCTTTATGCCTCCTTATTGATCGTTTTAATCTATTCTTTGTCTATCAGCATCCACCCTTCCCCCCCGCCCTATGTCGGCACCCACTGGTAGTTCAGGTTTGATTTCGATTGCCTCTCCACATGCCAGTACAACCTAATGCGCGCGCGCACACTCATTCACACCTAACTCGAACTTTCTGTGTCTAATTCTTATTGATTGCTATTCGCTCCAATAAGAGTAGCCCATGGAAACAGTAACCAAACCGCGTTTGTTTCTCGTCACGGAGTTACGATCTCCCTTATTTGGCTTTTAAGCTATTGCTTGGGAACCTCTATCGCGTTGGAAATTTGTACATTCGGTAAATCGCCTTGGAAACACCGCGAAATGAAGCGTGCCTATATTTTAATTTAAATACAAGTTTGTATATCATAGCTTTTTTCTTCTTTTTCAATTTAACTTCCTTTTATTGTGAAAGTTATAGAGTTAATAACACAGCGATGTCGGTAGAGAATTATATTCGCCGACTTTCCGATTACCGTGGGTAACCTTTCTCAAGGCAGGTTTTTACAATCGCTGTGTTATTAACTCTATAACTTTCACAATAAAACAACACATGGCGCATCGATTTTTCGATACACTCGTAACATCGTTTGGTCTTGATGTGTTAAAAATTAACTTCCTTTTCATTAAATAGATGACGATACAATTATTGTGAAGGGCTAAGAGGTCAATCAAAGGGCTGTCATACAACACACAATGGGGAAAGTCAGGCTGTGGTGGTGGAATTCGAACGTAACTCCTCCGAGGCGATAATTTGGTGACGTTACCACCGAGTTACAAATGCGTTAAATACCTCCGACTCGTTAACAACATCTTCTGAGGCTTGCGCGTAACTCTTCTTGTCTTGGAATTCAGTCGTATTCTACAGCCATAATACATGATCAGTCAACTTGGGTACTTGATAAATCGAGAGTATTATGAACACTGTGTGCATCACGTAATCGTTTGGTTGATTGGTGATGGAATATCACAGGAGTGTCCGCATTTGTGGTTGCACACAAGTCATCATTTTACTCACAGCATTTTCGGGCCTCAGCAAACGTGACCTCTTTCTTTTCCAATATCATATGCTGTAATGAGATGTTGATTCAGATGATCAGACGATCACATAGTTGTTCTTCCAATGAATCACCGTAATTGCATTTTGATGCCTGTTTATTCAATTAGAGGATGAACTCACGACACGGCATGTTAGCAGTTCTGATTCTTTGAGTTGAATTTGCCTTTTCAGTAGCCTGGAAATCCACTGGGAAAATGTGGTCCCGTAATAGGGATTTTAACTTCCCAAACAGCAATTCGGCAGGGACATTCGGAAACGATAATGTTTTTTACTAGGCCGCTCAACTTCAAGATTAGGACCGATTGGTTTTGCATTCCTCCTTTTTGGACGCTACACCATTGTTCGAAACGCCCCACCCACTCTTCGATTTCCGATGGGCTTCCGTAGAGATTCAGTTGTTCAATGGCAGGAATCTACATTCAACGACTCCAAATTGTAGTGATCGGAATAGTATTGAATACAGGAATACGATAACCCGTACCGTGCTACTTAGAACTGGACTGGCTCCAACCCGAACTGCGGACGCCAATGAAGTACACGGAGAATTGGTAGCGGCAAATGTCAATATTTGTTGACAAAAATAGAGTATGTTTTATAGAAAGGAATGGGCCGTATCATTAGTTGAAGGACCGTCGTCCAATCACGTAACCGTTTGTGCAGACCGCATCGTATGTACTAACTCTGATGTAATGTTTGCCCGGTGTACCATCGCTCCAGCTTCCTGAGCTTTGATTGGATGACATGAAGCTGTATGTGGTCGTACTTGGAATACGGTGACGTATGTCTGGATCACCACACTCAAGCTTTTGATGCCGGAGTATGCACTACCTGAAACTGTTGCCCTTCCCAATCTGTTTGTGCTCCTCCCATCGATTAGTTCAATTAGCGGCTCAAGGAAACATTGAAAGATTTAACTGTACAAAATCCTTGAGCGAAAGTGATAATTGTTAGTTTAATTTGTGCTGCCCGGTGTTTTGGCTAATACGGGATTCAGGAAGCTTCTGCTTTATGACATACACATTATAAAATTCCGTATATGAATTTAACTGATAATATCTGAGGTATCATCACAGATAAGATGAATTTGTAGTGTAATCAGTGATTCCCCTCAGACAATACAATTTCTTATCTGCAGTTAGCAACTAAATAAAAAAACCATCTTGCCTTCTTTCATTTTAATAAAATATCAACATTTTATTACATTCTACAAAAATGTATGCGTTCGATTTTCTGAAACAGAAAACTGTTCCATAGCAATTGTAATAATGATTGAGTTACGTCGTATTAATAAAATTGGAGCACGCTATACCTCATTCGATAATCCGCTCGACCATCTTCATCCAACTTAGTCCGCCTCATTAAACAAATTAGTGCAGGAGTTAAACTGAGTATAGTGAAATAGGGTTTCTTTCCCCAAGAAGGTCGGTAATCGGAGCGGGATGATCTTCACATACTACTTAAAATCAAATATAAACAGTTTTGAGTGCTGGTGATCCAATTCATGTTTTTTTTTCAGTACTACTCAAAGCTCCAGATCTATCCGATTTCTGCAAGTAACTCCTACTTCTCCTACACAAGAATGCTTGTCTAGTGGAGTTTTTGACCCCCCCCCAAAGTGTTGGTATATTAAAACAATCCGTGACACCCATCTATATAAAACATAAGTATTCAATCTACCCGTTCGAACTTGACCCAATTCATTAGCTCTTTCTCCATGACTATCTTTAAGCTCACATTTCTAAATCTTCCTGTCACCCTGAAGTTCACCGCATTGACCGAGCACATACCACTAGTTCGACAGTGTGAACTGCAAGTCCACTTGGGTACTGGCTCAGAAAACTACCTTAATTGCACCTCGAATTGTGACCAGACGATTCTCGAATACGGGCCCACCGGAACAATTAGCGGTCAGTTTCTTTCTGTAACAGGTTTTAGTTTTTTCTTCCCTTTATTTAATATACAATGATATAATTTTCAGAAAGATCTTGACGGCCAATCAGGGGCTGTCAATAATGCATAATTAGGAGTCAGGCGGTGTTGGGATTCTAACAGACGTTCTTTGGGGTGACAATTTGACTACCTATACCATTGGGCCACCACCGCCTGTTGAACGTATTGACACACAGAATGTATGTCATTAACATTTACGTCCCTTGTACGGAATATTAATCGCTAAAGGATGCAGTGATTTATTTAGCGGTACGTTATCCGACAGGTAGACACTCTAAGACAGTAGATTATCATGCCAGAATATTCAATCTTTGCTTTCATCAGGATGTTTCATCTTGTTATGGGAACGATACTTACCACGTTTAAAAATGATGTTCGCCGCTTGGTATTTGAACATTGATTGTGTTAAGCATACATAAGTATACATAATTTTTAATAATCACATGAGACGTGCTCGATAATAAAGCAAAACGTAAACACTTGTGCATTTTCTCATTCTAATAACCCTGGAATAACACAGATCTGAGTGGCCTTCAACAGTTACTGAATTTTTGTTTGAGTGGAATATATTTAGACCAGTGCTAATTAATCACGATTGTAAGTATGTTGCTAAATACTTCAATTTATGACAGAGTAAAACAAACGACAATCAATTGAGACGGATAGCACATGATCTCAACAAAGAGTAACGTGTGAGAAGGAACAGATGAAGCGAAGGCCTTCGCAACCTGGTTATTACTCATTTCGATTTCAATGCTTTGAGCAACCTTATTGTATCACAAGAGTGAGTAAACACCTTTGATTGTGTGGCTCATTTTAATGTTTGGAGATCTCATGGAAGCGCGAGCCGTTAGCCTTGTTTGACACAGATTGTCGATTACTATTCACAATTAGATGTTTCTTCGCCATTTGCACTTGACTACTTAGTAACATTCCCCTCACATCTCCTCAGTTAAACTTTCTCTTTTCTTGCATCCAAAGGTGCTTATAGTCTTCAACTTCATATATTCCAATAGCTTACTAGATGAACTTTTAATACTGTGATTATTTTTTAGGTTTTCGTGCACTTGCATTTTTCCATAAAACGTAAAACTTTTCTGAACGTTTGTTCTGCGACTAAAACCAGGCGCCATCAGGGCTGAACCACAGAACCCCGCGTAGCTAACACAGACGGTACCCCTACAGCACACACACTTAACCAGAACTTATTTATTACTCATCTCACTGTTGTTCTTTTACTCGGATATTGTTGATCAACATCGTCCTTTGGCATCGCGTTCCAATTTGCTTGTATTTCCTACACTTTTTAAAAAATCTCTTGTACTTTCATTCTCCATGGTCTTATTCTGAAACTAAAGTGGACTGTAAATCTTTTCCGTACGGTAAAGCAACCTCTCCCATTATGAATTTCATTGCTGCGCCACTGTTACGCTTAGCTGTCTAACCAGTAGAACCTGTTCCTATCACTGCTGCCACGAACTGTTATCGCTGACCTGCAATTGGGCTGCTCGTCTGACTGTACTTTTCATTTACCGTTTTCATTATTACTGTATGATTTTAGAACCAGGATTCATACAACTTGTCTATAAACACTGCTATTTTATTAGACTTCGTTCTGTCGCCCCTACCTGTGCTGTCGTGCTGTCTAGACTAATAAGCCGATGAATTCCTATCCGCCGAGGCGTAACAGCACGAAGTTAATCCAAAATGTTTTCCGGATTTATTGCTCATTTTTGAATAATACTTAAATAATACTTTCTACCGCCACGTCGCTGGCGTTGCTATGGGTTTAACCCTTCGGACCTGTTCTCGCGAACATCTTAATGGCCAAGCTAAAGACAACTTCTTTATCTACAGCCATTAGATCTTTTGAACAATATCACCGTTACGTGGATGATATCTTTTGTGTGTCTAACAAGATCACCAATCTTGCCCAAGTGGAGTCAGAATTTAACAACGCACATTCATCACTTAAGTTCGCAACTTAATCAGAGGAGAACGATTGCCTTCCTTTNTTGGATGTTCATCTGACCAGGTGCCTCGACGGCTCTATCCAAAGAAAGATATTTCGCAAAGCAACATGGAGTGGACAGTACACAAATTTTCATAGCTTCGTCCCACTCTATCAAAAACGTAACCTCATTCGCAGTCTGGTGCAGAGAGCAAGGCGCATCTGTTCAGAAGATACTTTGAAGGACGAAGTTGAACTAGTGAGGAGAACCTTACTAGAAAATGGCTATCCTGAGAAGTTTATCGACCCTAATTGGACTGAACAGAATAAGCCAACAAAGCTGCCAAAAGCGGAGAAGAAAATGCTTTTTATAAAACTTCCGTTTAAAGGTGACGCCGCCAATGAGAGGAGCAGTAGAGTTTTATCCTCCCCAGTAAAATCTACATTTAATGCTTCATAGCTAAGATGTGTGTTCTCTCCGTCACCAAACATCCGATGCTATAACAAAGATAAACTGCCCATGCTGACCTCATCTATGGTTGTCTACCAATTCAAGTGCACCTGTGGTGCGACTTACGTAGGTCGAACGACAAGGCAGTTATCTCAACGGATCAAAGAACACAATCCACGCTGGCTCACACAGGGTGGGAGTGGAACTGTGTCCAGCTCGATCGTTGCTCATCTGGTAGAGACGGGTCACTTGGTTGACATGCGCTGAGCATTTACAATCATCTATCGAGTCTCACCACACCCCTCAAGAGCAATACGGTTTCGTACGTTAGCGACCGCAGAGGCGATTAGCATCCGACTCATGAGCTTTGCGCACAACGCAAACTGATTCAAGCTCTCAAACTTCCCTGACCAAGGGAAGAGAAAATTGCTTGTTCATACGACCATACGTAACATCATGACGTAATCACTTTGGTTATGTGGTCGAAACTGCACACAATAAATTTAGAGTTCTCTTGGGCTCATTGCCGAACACATGAAACATTTACCTTTTTGATTTTTTTTGTTTTGTTTGACCTTTATCTAACTTGTTTCATATAAATGTGATTGTAAAGGCTTGAAAAGTAATTCACCGAAAACGTATGTTCGCCTACACTGGGTTCTTTTGAAATAATCATCAAGAATTTCACGAAAATGAAGCCTAGCGCGGTTTCACACAGAAAGGCACCCTCATTACGGACTGCCACTACTGATTTAAAACTCGAGCAGGAACCAAACTGTGAATTAAGAACTTACAGCTGGAGTTAGAAATTTACGGACGTAAAAGTGAAGCTAAAATTAGCCTCTCGAGGCAGATTGGCATGCTGGAGAAGGAGCTGATAGTGATTTCAAGATACATCTCTCGACCACGTTCTTGGAAACTGAAACGGGTCAACGAATTCTTAACTTCATACCACTGCCATGAAGAGCCGACAACCTTCAACGAACCCTGGTTTCCTGTTTTATTTCAGAGATCCACCAACCTCTATGAAACCGCCCAGCATATGCAGGCTTGTATTAGCCTTCCTGCCAGACAGCCGATCAAATATGATGGAAACCCAATGAAATACCTCGGGTTTATTCGATTGATTCTTAACTACGATTGTCCGATACACATCTGTCCCTGGTTGCCTTCTGGATTACAATAATCTCAGCTTGCGAAAACGAAGCAATCCGACGGTGTGCGGTCCTGGACCTTTGGGAATGTTATGAAGAGGCGCTTCGCATTCAGGATCGGCGTTTGGGCGAACCTCATGAGACTATACATCGACAAACTAACAAATGGATCCTTTTGAAAATCACGGACCCCAAGGCCCTGATACAATTGACTGATCAGATGAAACTGTCTTCTGCCACACTGAAGAGACTACGTTATCGCTCAGACTTGAATGCTTGTCGGACCCTGAGCGCAGTTTAAAAACGCCCATCAATCACCCTCAGGTGAAGTGGTTTGGAAGAGAATCTCAAATGTTCCAATCAGGCGTGAGTCAGCGGTAAACGAGCTGATGTGTTTCGTTTCTGATGAAGCAGATGCTGCCGTTGCTGGACTCATCCACACAAGTCGACAAACCCACCATACCACTGAAAGATTAGAATCGCGGAAGCCAAACAGCAGCACCCAGCAGGCTCCAATAATGACAATCCAGCACAACCAACACAGACAAGAATGATAGCAAACGAAAGCATACCAAGACTTGGCCTAGTATGTACTGACGTCTACATCCTTGACCAGCGCAATGAATTCCAAAACCTTACAGTTAAGTAGAGGTACTCCACTGTAGAGAAACATCATTTGTGCCTTTTATGTTCAAAACTCCATCATATGGTGCAAGACTGTCGTTCGTTAAAGGATTGTGGCTTAAAAGGGCGTCAGGGCCACCATCCTTCTATGCTACCCCTAACAAACCTCCCCTGAGATAAGACTGAAAGATTTCACAACCTCATCTAATGTCGCGTTTGCTGACCACGTGTCCTCTACAGAGTGTCCATTGACGAGAAATTCCTTCGCTGACAGTCTAGTCCGCCTCCAAGGTCCTTCGGGAGAAGTCACTGTCAACGTCATCCTCAACAACGGATCAGATACTATTCTAACCGAGAGCTCGTTAAAAACGAAACTTGGTCTCGCATACTGTAACACTCTTGGTGTTAGAGCTGAGGCCATAGTCTCACCGTTATTTCTGGAGACAATTTCTCATGATGGTCAAGAAGTCCAACAGATCCGTCGAGCATGAGCAACGAAGGATCTCCCAAAGGTGAAATCCATATTCCCCTTAGACGGTGATTAGACGGCTTGTGATCATCTAAAACAAATAACATTTCAATCCACTGACGGACCGGACGTAATGATCCTCATCGGAACCTATGTACCAAAGGCTAATTGGGTATTGGAGCAAAGGGTTGGAAAGCCCGATGAAACATATGCTGTTATAGGCCCTTTGGTTGAACAGTTCCGGGGCCGGTTACATTAAATCCCTAACTTCCGTTGAGGGTGAACATAAATCACATCGTAGATAAGAACGTACAAGGGGAATCGGAACGGGTGTTCAACTTCGAATTTACAGAAGCTACTTGCACCAAAAGGGCCCCATCTGAGAACGATAAGTTGGCTTTGAGGTACATGACCGAATCCATGCGCTTGGTTAATGGATACTCCAAAATAGCACTTCTGTGGAAACAGAAGGCATTTAATCTTCCAGATAACTAGAGCTAGACTGTGAGAAGTTTGACACTTCTCAAGAAACGTCTGGAGACGAACCCCGGGCTTAAAGATATAATATCACTGTGGATGACTTTGTCAGTAAAGGCTATACTCACGTAGAACCCGAAAGGAAGCATACCAAAACTACTTTAGCTGTTTGGTATTTGCCGCATAGCGGAGTCTGCAAACATGGTGACCGAAGTAAAGTGAGCGTTGTCTTTGATTGCACTGCGGGATTTGTTGATTCTTCACTAAATAGGCTTGTAGTTTTGCTCTGCTTATATCAAGC